CAGCGACGCTGTGGAGGTCAAGGTCAAAGGTGAGAGCACAGGGGCAGAGAGAAGTCCCCCCCCCCCGCCCCCAGGGGAGGGAAGGACTCCAGGCCTCAGGGAGCCCACAGTCTGAGGGGTGCAAACACCCCTGGAGGACAGACTGAGCTGGGAAAGGACTGACCAGATACAGGCTTTGGTCACTGCCTTTCCCTCAAGTGGAGGAACTGCTACCTGTAGCCTCACTTGAGCCCCCCCTTCCGCAGGGAGTGTAATTTACCCCGTGTGGACAGATGAGTGACAAGAAGGGGGCGGGAGGTCAGTGTGCAGGATGACCCTGCCTCCAGGAGCACTCTCTGCCCCTCAGGGGTCGTCTTTCTCTACCGGGAGGGCTCTGCCCGCTACGCCTTCTCCTTCACTGGGGCCCAGGAGGCCTGTGCCCGCATCGGCGCCCGCATCGCCACCCCAGAGCAGCTCTATGCGGCCTATCTTGGGGGCTATGAGCAGTGTGATGCTGGCTGGCTGTCCGACCAGACGGTGAGGTACGCTGGGCTGTGGGCCAGGGGCTCCTATGGTGTCTGAGGTTCTGCCAGGGGCTGCCTGCTGCCTCAGGTTGGCCACAGGGGCACCCTGCCTCCTGGGAATGAAGTTGGTCTTCGGAGCATGGGTGAGGCTCTGCCCTGGGGGTGTCTGTCCCCCAGGGCTGGGAGGCCAGCTGGCTGCGTGGACGGCACTGTGATTTGGGAAGGTCACGTGGGATGGCTCCCTCGTGAAGGCGTCTGTCCTCTATCCCCAGGTACCCCATCCAGACTCCGCGAGAGGCCTGTTATGGAGACATGGACGGTTTCCCTGGTGTCCGAAACTATGGCGTGGTGGACCCGAGTGACCTCTATGATGTCTACTGCTATGCTGAAGACCTAAATGGTGATTGGGGATGAGGGGCTCCCAAGGGACAAGCCCCTTCTCTAGTGTTGCCCATGGGTCCTCCTGGGGCCTCTGCTGGACCTTATTGCCCTTCATATGTTTAAGGGGGAAGCCAGGGGGAAGGAAACAATCGATGTCCCTCCCTCCAAATACTGTCATAGAGGCAAGTTCATGGTCAAAGCCTAAGGCACGTGGTAGGAGACTGAGTTTGTGCTGACTCTGCTGTGAATCTCTTTACCTCTTAGCATCTCTAGGCCTTGTTTCCGTCTTTGCAGCTTGAGGAAGTGGGGCTAGGTCCCTGTGAGCAATAATATCCATCCTGAGCTTCTACCCAGACTTCGATCCTACGAAGCAGGATAATTGACTCCATGTCACAGATAATGAGACTGAGGCCTAGAGAAGCTTGCCCCGGGTCCCTGTTGAATCCAGGGTAGAAGGGGCTACGAACTTCCTGGTAACCCAGCCTCCTCTGCCCTACCAGGAGAGCTGTTCCTGGGTGCCCCCCCAGACAAGCTGACATTGGAGGAGGCACGGGCATACTGCCAGGAGCGAGGAGCGGAGATCGCCACCACGGGCCAGCTCTACGCAGCCTGGGATGGTGGCTTGGACCGCTGCAGCCCAGGCTGGCTGGCCGATGGCAGCGTGCGCTACCCCATCATCACACCCAGCCAGCGCTGCGGTGGGGGTCTGCCCGGCGTCAAGACTCTCTTCCTCTTCCCCAACCAGACCGGCTTCCCTAACAAGCACAGCCGCTTCAACGTCTATTGCTTCAGAGGTGAGCCCACCTTCCTGCGGGGCCTGGGACCAACCTCACGGGGACAGATCAGCCCTGAAGTCTTACCCCCGCTCGGATCATTTCCTCTCAAGGTCTTTGCCATCTGCCTGAAGGAGGCTTAGGTGAATCTCAGCTTGTCACTAGGGTTCTAATTCTGGTCACACCTCTGGCTCGGCTATGTGGCCTCAAGGAGTGCTCACTTCTCTGTATCTTCTCACCTCCCTCCACATCAGTAACCCATGCCCTCTCTTCCAGTTTCAAAACTGCCTCTCCCATATCGGGCTACCAAGTATGTTTCCATTTCTGGTCCGCTCATTTGCAGAGCAGAGATGACCGACAATCTCTGAATCCAATGAATGATTCGCTCTAGTTAACCAAATGCCCTTAAGAGCCATCAAAGGGGTTTCCGGAACCTTCAGCTTGAAGGTGTCATATCTTTAACCACCAAATATTGATGGACAGACACGGGTTCACCCACAGAGAGCAGGTCCTTAAGGAGAGTTGGATGTAGAGATGGCTTCCTGCCCACATCGTATATTGGGAGATGGGGGAGCACTGCCTGGGACCCCCAGAGGCACAGGGCCCAGGCTAAGGGTGACTACAAATCAGGGAGGAATTGCTGTTAGGTGTCTGAGTCCTTGCTCCAATTGTGAGCCTGTGGTACTGGTACACAGACTGGAAGCAGAAATGTGAGAAGAAGGCACGGCTCTTGCCATGGAAGCCCCCAGTGTGAGGGAAGACAAGACAGCTTGCTCTCAACAAGATGGAGACTGAGAGACAAGGATTACTTTCCCTGAGACCGATCCCCAGACATGTTTGACCTGGGACGGATGTGGGGATGGATAGGGAAGTGAAGCCCATAGGAAGACAGGTCCATCTGAAAAGATTTCCTGGAATAGGGGTGGTGAGGAGGATGATGATGATGATAGCTAGTACTTCTATGCACTAACTATGATTATGTGTCAAACACATTCTGGGGGGAAATGAATCAGGACGGGGAGAAGAGGAGATGACTATGGTTGTGAGCAGGTGGAGGACAGGCACGCAGGGCACGGGTTTGCTGGTCTCGTATTAGCAAGGCTCGCTGGAGCAGGTGACAAGGGCAGGACATGCTGTCCTGTTTCATCTGGCTGAGCACAGATGGCCCTCAGGGCTTTTCTTAGCCCAATTCCACCGTCACTTCATTGGTTTTCTTCTCTTGGTTTACTTCCCTGGAGACAAGGTAATCTATTCTAAAACTGTCATTTGAAGGGAGTAGACCCGAAGGATAGGGTGACTCCTGCCTTTGTGCTCTTGTCCCTGTACTGAGATCCTCAGGTGGTGACTGTTGAATGTTCTCCTGTCCTATTCCCTTCAGCTCTCCTGCAGTGACGGCAGCCTGTCCCCTTCCATTTCAAAAGCCTTGGGATGACTGAGCTCCCTCACACCTTGCCCCAAACCCAAGGTGCGGAGGCCATTCTGTCCATCCTACCTCCATCCTTTGCTCAAGGGAAGATCTCTCCCCTGAGCCTCTCTCTACCATTCCATATACAGTAGTGCTTCCCATCCCATCCCCTTATATGTTAACATTATAATACATGTGTATTTGTTTATCATCTGTATCTGAAGTATAAATGCCCTGTGGGCAGGAAGCTTGCTATTTTGCTCTTTGCTGTATTCTCAGTGCCCTGGAGAACGCTTGGCATGACACACATTGGGCACTTGGTTAATGCTTGAGGAACAAGTGATGAAGTCCTAGGGTGCTTCTGTGGCCCCATGGATGCTCCGCAGGGAAAATGAGAGACAACTGAGAGAATTCCATGGCCTCTGAGTCTAACCCAAAACCCTCACATGTAGGCTGTGACCTGGAAGGACAGAGCCACCTATTTAACACCCCCAATGGCACTTAACTCCCACAACAGACTCTGCCCAGCCCTCTACCATCCCTGAGGACTCCAACCCATCCTCGGACCCAGCTTCTGATGGACTGGAGGCCATTGTAACAGTGACAGAGACCCTGGAGGAACTGCAGCTGCCTCAGGAAGCTGTGGAGAGTGAGTCCCGAGGAGCCATCTACTCCATCCCCATCATAGAGGATGGAGGAGGTGCAAGCTCCACTCCAGAAGACCCAGCAGAGGCTCCTAAAACCCTTCAAGGTAATGCAAATCCCTCACACTGGAGAGGTCTGCACATGAGATACGGGGGGCATAAGCCCAGCTTGATGCTGGGGTTATGACGGCAGGACTCTGTCCTGCCCTTTCTCAGCAGCTCAACAGTGCAAGGCACCTCACCTGTTCCTCTTCCAATCTTTGCCTTTCCAGAAAATCTCACTCCCAACTCTCTGAGTCTAGAGCTGTTTGGATTAAGTTGCTGATCCTCCTTTGTTTGGTCTCTCCTCTCCCTCACCAAGCCAAAGTAGACCAGAGAATTTGAACAGACTAGGAGAGGGAGTCGCAAGGACCATGTTTTCCTGGGATAATGACAGCTCACAGAGCCTTCAACATTGCAGCTCCTGTTGCAATTCTTCTGGTGTGGAGCAAAGACAGCTTCTCCCCAGGGCAGGCTCTTTCCTCTCCCCAGTCCTCACCAGCCCCTTCCTCCCCTTTCCCTTCCCCTTCTCTAACTTCTGACGGGCGCTGTCCCTGGTGCTGAATCATCTGTGCTTTGCCTAGAATTTGAACCCCAATCCATTGTGCCTCCCATGGGGTCATCAGAAGAGGAAGGCAAGGCAATGGAGGACGAAGAGAAATACAAGGATGAAAAAGAAAAAGAGGAGGAGGAAGAAGAGGAGGATGTGGAGGATGAGGACCTGTGGGCCTGGCCCAGCGAGCTCAGCAGCCCGGACCCAGAAGTCCCTCTCCCCAGTGAGCTGGAGCTGGAGGACTCACTCTCCCAGGCCTCCCAGTCACCGGCCGTCCTACACCCCGGTGCATCACCGCCTCCCAATGGAGAGCCAGAGGCTCCCAGGCCGCCAAGGGTCCTAGGACCACCCACTGAGACCCTGCCCACTCCCAGGGAGGGGAACCTGGCCTCACCTTTCACTCCCACTGGGGCAAGAGAGGTGGGGGAAGAGACTGGGCGTCCTGAGCTGCCGGGGGTCCCTCGAGGAGAGAGCGAGGAGACAGGGAGCTCCGAGGATGCCCCTGCTCTGCTTCCAGCCACACAGGCCCCTGGGGGTACCAGGGAGCTGGAGGCCCCTGCCAAAGAGAATTCTGGAAGAATTATCCCAGCAGGGACCTCAGTGCAGGCCCAGCCAGTTCTGCCCACTGACAGCACCAGCCATGGTGGAGTGGCCGTGGCCCCCTCAGCAGGTAACTTTGCCCAAGGCTCAGCTTCCCTGTTTCTCCTCCTCCTTTTTCTCCCCCTGCAACTCTGAGTCACCTCACCTGTAGTCCTTTAACCCACCATTGCCCCAGATCTCCTGTCCTTTGCTTTTATTCTCCTACCCACCTCAACCTGTGGGCTTCCTATTTTGGATACCCCATCATGTGACTTCCATCCCAGCCCTGATTCCTCGCCCTGTGGCCCCCCAACATCCTGACCCCCACCCTAAGACCCTCTCCCTGCTCACTCTATCACCCCAGCCCACCACTGACTGCCTCAGACTCTTTCCTAGTCTTGGGCTCTCTACCTGTGACTCACATCTCACCAACCCCAGAGAGCACCCTCAGGCCTCACGCACTAGGATGCCCTCAGCACCTGTCGCCCTCTTCAAGGCCTAGGTTGGTCTTCCACTGCTCCCTTCCCCCTTCCTGTGTGTCATCCCCTTCAGCCACCTCCCACTGATATCAGGGAAGCCTGGGACCCCACCCCCACCTCTCACCCTCTGGGGTCCAGGAGACCCTGAATCCCACAGAGCCTTAAGCGACTACTTCTGTGAAGTATTTTTTCATTTGTTTCATGGAAAACAAGCCTTGGAAATAAATCTCTATTAAACTGCTTTATAACCAAAACTCTGGCACCCTCTGTCTCCACCCACAGCTGTCTGCCCTTTGCATTCTATAGATCCATGTCATGGGTAGCTCTTTGATGCTCTCTTTGACTCTCTCTCTATCTCTCTCACCTTTCATCCCCCTCCCTCCCCGCTCTGTCTCCTTGCCTTGCATTCCTTTTCATCTTCAGCCTAAACCTATCCAGTCCTAGCCACCTAACAGCCCTTTGCTGTTCTCTCATCCTGCCCTTCTCAGGCCTGTTTCCACTTTCCTTCCTGACTGCTGAGATCCCAGATCTGACTGCACATTCCCCAGAAAAGCCCTTGCTCATCTGTCTGTGCGAGTGTTGGGAGGTTTCTCCCTCACTCTTGGGGGGAGAACCTCCGCAGCCTGGAGTGTGTGTGTGTGTGTGTGTGTGTGCGTTTGTATTCATTTCTGGTCCCTCTCAATGGCTCCCATATAGAGGCACACATACAGAGTAGTGACGAAAAAGTCCCCCTTCGCCTAGATGCGGTTCCCTGGCATCCAGGTAAACCAGAGCCCATGCCCCGCCCCTGGCATCTCAGCAAGGGGATGGTGTCTGACTTTCATTCTATTCCCACAGCCTTCCTGTCCTCCACTAACCCCCACACTAATGACTTCCTCCACCCCTTGGGGAGAATGGTTTCACTCTCCCTACACCCAAAGGATGTCAAAGTCCCAAATGCTGGAGAAGACACAGATCAGGAGCCAAGGGGAGGGAGGGAATGTAAAGGGGGGGGGCAGGGCGGGGTGGCAGGGAATGGGGAGTTAGAGAAGCCTTACCAGCTCAGGGAAGGTTGAGCTTCCCAGTGGCGACTCCTAACGAAGGCTGGATGCCCTCAGGACCCCCTCTCCTAGATGGCCCAGGGTGGTCTAGGGGTCCCTGCATCACATCCAGGCTCACACATTTCAACTGTTGGCTCCCTCCCAGCTGACCTTGGCGTTCAGCACTGGTGGGTGGGGAGGGGATTGGTGGGAAGAGGCGCACCATCTGCAGTGTGTTGGTTGCCCATGTGGAGGGTGAGGAAAGCCTCCTGGCCATTACAGCAGAATGGAAGGAACAATGTCCGGGTCCTTATAGTAGTTGGGCCCAACGAGGCGGAGGAAGGAAGACCAGAACGTCTCAAGAGGAGTTTTTCACCGTTTACTACCAAGTTTGAGAGTCTCTATCCCCCAGGGTTGGAGGGTTGGAGAGAAGACAACAGGAAGAGCAGGAAAATGTGAGGAACAGGGAGCAGTTCAGGGCTCCTACCCTCTGTGGGCCCCGGTGCTTAAAGGGTTAAATAAAACACCTTCCCTCCCCCCTTCCCCCTGGCTGGTAGGTAAAACTATTGGCAAGAGGGGAGATGACAGGGAGAACGGTGCTGGAACAGCTGATTCATTTTACGCCAAAAAGCTAGATCACCACAGCAAAAATTTTTGAGTCAACTCCAGCTTCTCCTCCCCCCACCTCTGCTCTGATCCTCACCAGGCATCTTGGGCCAGGATCTTGGGCCAGAGTAAAGCATGTGAGCCTTGGCCTTGGCTGCTAGGGGTGATGCCGTGGCTGCAGCGGTCGCCAACCTTTTGGACCTCGGACCTCATGGCCCACCAGGGGTCCGAGGACCACCAGTTAGTGACCGCTGGCCTGGAGGGCGGTTTTACTGCCCAGGCCTGAGAGCCCTGACCTGTGCTGTCAGTTGGTGGGGTTGTCTTCCCTTGGGTCATCAGGACCAGAAAGAGTAGAATCTGACAGCCCCTCCAGCACCCAGGCTCAGCCCAAGTTAGGCAGCCATCACCCCCTACCCCAGCATCCAGAGTACAGAGGAGGAGGCAGCTGGCCTAGCCGGGTGGCGCTGGATCCAGAGAGCGGATTGCATGCTTTCAGGGAAGTGTGTTAGTCTAAGGAGACTGGCTACCTGGAGAAGAGAGAGCCAAAAGGAAGGGTGCAAGATGGAGCCGAAGGGTTTCTAGGCGAAGGAATCTGCAGGAAGCCTGAACTAGAGGGTGAAAGGGAAGCCTGGTAAGGAGGGAGGGCTGGCAGGGCTTAAAGTGAGGGGAGTGTACTGGATCTTCACTCACTGCGCCCGTGGACAGAGGAGGAATGGTTACCTCCCATCTGAACCCTCCTCCCCCCATATCAGGTCCCAGTGGCTGCGGGAACTCTCCACTTTCAGGTAGCCCACCCCCACTGTACAGAGCTGTTCTGGACCTGACACAGACCAGGGGGTGGGGGACTAAGCTCCCAAAGGGTTAAAAGACCTGCCCATTTCACCCGGCGGAGCTGGGAGCCAGACAAGAGACCAAGCCTCAGGACCATCTTTCCCCTTTGCGGGGCTGGGTCCCAAGGGCCTTTGCGGTCACTTTCTCCCAGCCCCTGTTAGATTGGGATCACACTGGCAGACATGACTATGGCCAGCACAGAGCTGAACCAGTGCTGAAGTGGGGGACCTCGAGGGGACCCAGAGACGAGAAAAATCCAGAATTCAGGCTGGGCTCTAACCAGAGGCAGGTTCCAGGGGGAACTTTGAGAGAGCTGTTTAGCTCCTAGGACAAGGGGGTTGGGGCTGGGGGCCCTCTCCAGATGGACTCAGGCAGCAGAGCTGTGCTTCCCTGCTCCCCCCACCCCCGACATCACTTCTCTCCCCCTCTCAGGTAACTGTGTCCCCAGCCCTTGCCACAATGGTGGGACATGCTTGGAGGAGGAGGAGGGGGTCCGATGCCTATGTTTGCCTGGCTATGGGGGGGACCTGTGCGACGTTGGTGAGTGTGTTGGAGGGACTGGTGTGGGGTGGGGGTAGATCGGAAGCCTGGACCCTGCTGGTTCCAGAGGAAGGAGGGGAGGGCACTGGTTTTGGCTTTGCCGTTGATGAATCCCATTTTAGGCAAATCACATAACCTGTCTGAGCCCTACCCTCAATTTCCTCATCTGTTAAGTGGAACCAAAAATGCCTCTCTCAGGGGTTCGGTGTGAGAGGACTGCTTAGCAGACTCCTGGCATTTGGAGTCAATACATGCCAGTTTCCATTCTCCTGGCAAGAGGCGAGCGTACAGCTCCCCTTTAGGATGGAGGATGGCAGAGACCCAGGCCGGGACTCCCAGCCCTCACCCTAGTCCCCAGCGAGGGAAGGGGGGATCAAGGTCCCCAGCACTAGGGCTCCTCCAGGCTCCTCCCCCCCCTCCGCCCCTCCTTCCCTACCAGCTCTTTGGCCCCGCCCTCCTGCCCCGAGCCCCGCCCTCTCAGGCTGCGGTGGTGGGACCCCTCCCAGGTGACCAGGCCCTTCGGAGTTCCCGGGTCCTCCCGCCTAAGTAGCGCGCCCTTCTGCGCCCAGGCCTCCGTTTCTGCAGCCCGGGCTGGGACGCCTTCCAGGGCGCCTGCTACAAGCACTTTTCTACGCGGAGGAGCTGGGAGGAGGCGGAGACGCACTGTCGGATGTACGGCGCGCACCTGGCCAGCATCAGCACCCCCGAGGAGCAGCGCTTCATCAACGGTGGGCTGGGGACCCTGCCACCTGCTGTCACTCGCACTCACTCGTCAATCAACTCATTAATGAGTGTGTTCATGATTACCGCCTCATTCATTAATTCGGGTACTTACTACTTGGCCTACCTCGTTCTACTAGTCCACTGTTCCTTTCTCTGCCTCCTTCCCACTGCACACGTGGGAGGTGGGCTTCAGACCGGGGCCGCTGCGGTTGGAGCAGAAACTACACCTGCGTCAGCCTGGCGCCCCCTTCAGAGCTCCCACCTCCCTGCTCTCCGGCCTCCACCTGCTCTCCCCGACTCTGACCGCATTGAACATGTTTACTCTGCGTCTAGAGGTTCCCTTTTCTAGCCCAGGCCCACGCACCGAGGTTGGAGTGAGGGGAACGCGGGGCTGGGGTGGCGGGAGGACTTCTCCGCGGCCACCCAGCGACCGCTCGATCCTGGGGAATGGTCGCCCTCTGCTGGCGGCGGAGCTCACTGCAACCATCTCCCCTGCGGTTCTTTCCCAGATCGATACCGGGAGTACCAGTGGATTGGGCTCAATGACAGGACGATCGAAGGCGATTTCCTGTGGTCAGATGGCGTCCCCCTGGTGAGAGGCTCCCGCTGCCTCTCAAGCTAACTTAGTTGCTTCTTCGAAGCATTTCCTCCCCCACCCCACAGTGACCCCAACCCCAACCCTCCCTTTCCTTTCTCTGGCTCCTTCCCTTCCCCATGCCCGCTCTCTCCCTGGGTCCTCTTCCCATCTTTGTGCCTCTCTGACTTCTCTTCTGGTTGCCATTATCCTTCCTCCCAAAGCCCCTGACCTCTCCTTTCCCCTGGGGTCCCCTACGCCCCATCCCACTAACCCTCCTACCCCTCCAGACCATTCCTCTGTCTCCAATGCTGGAGCTCCTCACCACCTCCTCCACCCCCACCGCCACCCCCTAGCTCTATGAGAACTGGAACCCCGGGCAGCCTGACAGCTACTTCCTGTCCGGAGAGAACTGCGTTGTCATGGTGTGGCACGACCAGGGACAATGGAGTGACGTGCCTTGCAACTACCACCTGTCCTACACCTGCAAGATGGGGCTGGGTGAGGGCGGACAAGGGAGAGGAGGGGCGGGGGTGGGGATGCTGGGACGGATGTGTAAACAGAAGGAGGTGCAAAATTGCTCAATCAGAAATGGGTCCCAGGCCCTGAGCACGGGAGGGATAACAAATCCGATGGGTCCACTCAGATCCCCTGCTCTTTTTTGTATCCGACTGTGGCCCACTCCTCTCCTCCTCATCCCGATTCTGGGGACTGTCACCCATAGAGCCAGGCTCTCAGTTTCTGACTGTGTCTGCCCTACAGTGTCCTGTGGGTCCCCACCAGAGCTGCCCCTGGCTCAACTGTTTGGCCGCCCGAGGCTGCGCTATGAGGTAGACACGGTGCTTCGTTACCGGTGCCTGGAGGGGCTGGCCCAGCGCAACCAGCCACTGATTCGCTGCCAGGAGAATGGTCGCTGGGAGGCCCCGCAGATCTCCTGTGTGCCCCGCAGGCCGGTGAGTGCCAGGAGGAGGCAGCTGGGGGGCATTAACTAACAGTAGCACTGGGCTGCAATCCTAGTCCTGCCAGTCACCGGCTGTGTGACCTTGAAGTAATCACTGCCCCTCTCTGGACCAAGGGAAGGAGCTGGATGCTCTGGGTTCTCTTCAGTGCTGACGTCAGAACATTGGGCCAAGCTCTGGGCCCTTAGGGGCTGAGCCAGGGCAGGTGTTTGATGAAATCAGGCATCACGGAGCAAGAACACCAGAGAGGGCTCTGAGAAGAGAAGGGGGAAGAGCCCAGGGTGAGGGTGCGTGCGTGTGTGTCTTCCCCAGTCTCGAGCTCTGCGCCCCAGGAAGGCCCTAGAAGGACATCAGCGGAGGCTACTGGGGCACTGGACCCCTCCTTCCAGTCCTGTTCCAGCTCCCTAAGAAGCAAGGCCTTGGATACTGCTGCCCCCAGCACTGCCCTCATGCCCCACCATGGGAAGTGGCAACATGAGAGGGGTAGAGCTGGAGTCCAGGTGACAGTGCCTGAAGGGGCTTCTGGGAAATACCTGGGCAGCTGCAGACCAGCCTAGGCCCTTTCACCCCCACACTGAGCATCAGGTTTTCCCTCAGGGCCTTGAGTTGTCCCTAAGTGCCTCAACTGCCCCCTCCATTCCCCTGGGGGGCTCTGTGTCCACTCATTCTCTAAGGGAGTGAGTTTTCAGGATGGCATACCTGTAAAACCAGCAGGAAATAAAGTTGCATTTGAGTCCAAGAAGTGTGATGCTTCTGAGAGAGAGAGAGGGAGGAAGAGAGAGAGAGAGAGAGGTGGGGTTGGGTTGAGCCTTACAGGATAAATATGCCTTCTGGGTTTATTGGTTTCTGAAGGTCAGAGAAGTCAGGGGATAGAATAGTAACTAGCACAGAAGAGCTGCCCAGTAAGTACTTATGGAATGAAGGAGCCCACAGGGGTGGTGGTAGGAGCGGGGTGGGGGACAGCATAAGGGTGTTTGAAAGGAGCTGGAGCCGGGCAAGTGTTGCTCAGTGGTTAGGCATCAACCTATGAACCAGGAGGTGACACTGGATTCCCCATCACCAGGGCACATGCCTGGGTTGCAGGCTCCATCCCCAGTAGGGGGTGTGCAGGAGGCAGCCGATCAATGATTCTCTCTCATCACTGGTGTTTCCATCTCTCTCTCCCTCTCCATCCAATCTGAAATCAATGAAAAGAAAAAAGAAAGGAGCTGGAGTGCCCCGTCAAACAGACCTAGATGAGTTCAGTCTGGGCGGGAGCTGAGGGCCCAAAGAGGAGAGCAGGGAGGTGCCCCAGTTCTGAGGTTCCTGAGGGGGTTCACTGGGCGGGGGGCGGGGATGAGGGTGAAGGGAATGCAGGTCTGGGGTTTAGATCGCAGGATGGCGTACTTCCAGCAGCACGGGCCGAGATGCAGGAATAGGGGCACGTGATCAGGGCGGAGGAGGGATCCCCAGCCCTGTGGTGGGCTGGGCTCTGAGGAATGACCTGCAGGCCTCATAGGCTGTAGCCAGCAGAGGGCGCTGTGTGCACGTGCGTGAGTGGAGCCAGGCGGGAGGAGCCTTAGGATACCGCCAGAGGGCGCTGCGGTGTCACCCCCCCCCCCCCCC